GCTGCTGCCCCCGCGACCCGGCCTCGGATAAAGCGGATGAAGATGGATGGATGGTCTGTGTTAAAATGCAGCCCTACAAAGTGTTAAAGTTTTGTTTCATTTTGTTTCATTTGTGTTTTTCAGTCACAGAAGCCGTTGGAGGAAATTAGATTCTCGTCTGGACAGAGTTGATCTTCCTGTCGTTTGTTCATATAAAGAACTATATGCTATGATTTATTTTATGTTTTGCAGGTGAAAGACTTCACGACAGCTGGAAATCTCAATGTGAAAGGTTTTCTGTAAACTGAGAGATCTAGTACTCACACACAAGCTCCAACTACAGATTTATTTCAAAACAAAAAACTGTTGTCTCGTTAAAGTTTTAAACCCAAAGAATTTCATAAAATAAGACTCCATTGTTATGTAATTTTTGTTAGTGCCATTTTTGTTTCATTAGATGCATTTTGTCCTTTCAGATCTCATAGAATAAAAAGATTTCATTGCTAAAAATGCCATTTCAAGTAAAACCAGTTCTCTTTTTCCTGTAAAGTTAGTCATAGCTCAGTGTTTTCCGTTTCTATTGTTGCCAAACTGGATCATCCATCTGTTCAGAGCTAACCTGTTATAAAATTTTACACTCAAGCAAGCATGCAGACTGGAAGCTTTCCTTAACCCTGCTTTAGATGAGTATACGCTACCTCCAAGGTTTTAAGCTGAAGGTTTAACCATTTCTCTCACTCCCCTGAGATAAACATTGTGGAAAATCTGTTCCAAAAAAAGCCACACGCAAGATGGACCAAGAATCAGAAACAGATGAACGTGGAAGGAAGAAATCTGCAAAACAAGAATTAAAAGAGATTCAACTGCTATAAAAAGAGTTTACATGCTGTGGGAACTGTGGGGTCCCTAAACATTTACTTTGGGCCCTTTTTATTATTTTAAAACTGTAAAAGATGGAAATAAACGAATCCTGCTCCGAACAGTCAAGAAATGTGTCAAGTTTTATGCCTTTTGAAAACCACATTGTCTTTTAATCTCCTAGCTGTTCGCGGTAATTGAAACATGGAGCTCAAAGGGGTTTCAAACGTTAAAACATCAGTGTTTACAAGCTATTGTGCTCAACTGGGTAAACTAACAACACAAACCAGAAATGAAGGTGCAGGGAGATCCGGGGAAATACACAAGGAGAGACGCAGGGAGACCGAGGGGAAACAACACAGACGAACCAGCAATTACTAAGACAGAAAATACAACTTAAATACACTCAGAGAACACAGGGAGATTACACACACAGGTGGGAAACACAGCTGGGAGTGATTAACATGACGAGACTAGGGAGGCAAACTGAAAACACTCACATAAGACGCAGACCTTCACAACAAAACAGGAACACACGGGCAGAACAGAGTAAACACTAACCTGAGGAAGAACAGAACCAAAATCGAAGAGAAAACACAAAATGCTGGGTCAAAAGGACCCAGGATCATGACAGCTAGAGTCCAAAGTGTATGACATCTCAGGGGGAAAAAAGCACTGGAATAAAGCACCGAAATGTGCGCTGCTTTTCAGTCTGGTTACTACCGTTTATGTCAGAACCATACCGGTACCCATCCCTACCCAGGAGTGATCAGCTGACCAAAATTACTCCAAGACTGCATCAATAACTCATCCAGGAAGTCACAGAAGAACCCAAAGCATTTTCTAAAGAACCGCAGCCCTCACCTGGCTCAGTTAAGGTCAGAGGTCATGATTCAACAAAAAGAAAGAGAATGAGTAAAAATGGCATTCACGGGAGATTTCAAGGAGAAAATCACTGCCGACTGAAGGCTTGTCTAACATTTACCAAAATCATCTGAATGATCCCCAAGACCTTTGTGAAAAACGTCTGTGGGCTGACGAGACAAAAGTTAAAATGCATGAACGGTTTAAAACCCGTTGCATGTGGCATGAACTTTAATAGAACTTAAATCAGACTGAGATACTTTAAACCTGCTGTTCATGCTGGAAAACCCTCAGAGGTGGCTGAATTAAAACAATTCTGCAAAGAAGAGTGGGACAAAATTCCTATGCAGACATGTGAAAAACTCATTCTCAGTCTTGCTGCCAAGGGTGGCACAGCCAGTTATTAGAGTTAGGGGACAATAACGTTTTAAATTTTTCAATTTGTTTTTCTTTCCTAAGTCAACCAGCATTTATACTTTGTGGTCTGTCTTAAAATGCAGCCCTACAGTAACAAAGTGTTACAAGGTAACAAAGTTTTGTTTCATTTTGTTTCATTTGTGTTTTTCAGTCACAGAAGCCGTTGGAGGAAATTAGATTCTCGTCTGGACAGAGTTGACCTTCCTGTCGTTTGTTCATATAAAGACTATATGCTATGATTTATTTTATGTTTTGCAGGTGAAAGACTTCACAACAGCTGGAAATCTCAATGTGAAAGGTTTTCTGTAAACTGAGAGATCTAGTACTCACACACAAGCTCCAACTACAGATTTATTTCAAAACAATTAACTGTTGTCTCGTTAAAGTTTTAAACCCAAAGAATTTCATAAAATAAGACTCCATTGTTATGTAATTTTTGTTAGTGCCATTTTTGTTTCATTAGATGCATTTTGTCCTTTCAGATCTCATAGAATAAAAAGATTTCATTGCTAAAAATGCCATTTCAAGTAAAACCAGTTCTCTTTTTCCTGTAAAGTTAGTCATAGCTCAGTGTTTTCCGTTTCTATTGTTGCCAAACTGGATCATCCATCTGTTCAGAGCTAACCTGTTATAAAATTTTACACTCAAGCAAGCATGCAGACTGGAAGCTTTCCTTAACCCTGCTTTAGATGAGTATACGCTACCTCCAAGGTTTTAAGCTGAAGGTTTAACCATTTCTCTCACTCCCCTGAGATAAACATTGTGGAAAATCTGTTCCAAAAAAAGCCACACGCAAGATGGACCAAGAATCAGAAACAGATGAACGTGGAAGGAAGAAATCTGCAAAACAAGAATTAAAAGAGATTCAACTGCTATAAAAAGAGTTTACATGCTGTGGGGAACTGTGGGGTCCCTAAACATTTACTTTGGGCCCTTTTATTATTTTAAAACTGTAAAAGATGGAAATAAACGAATCCTGCTCCGAACAGTCAAGAAATGTGTCAAGTTTTATGCCTTTTGAAAACCACATTGTCTTTTAATCTCCTAGCTGTTCGCAGTAATTGAAACATGGAGCTCAAAGGGGTTTCAAACGTTAAAACATCAGTGTTTATAAGCTATTGTGCTATTTAAATATAGAATATTATTAATATTTGATGAAACTTTGTGTTCTTAATGAAGAACATGTTCTGCAATATTAAATTTACAGTCTAAGTTAAATAAATATAATAAATTTTAATTATATTGTATAAATTAATAAACTAATCTGCAAAGCTAGAAGCATCAGAATTTTGAGGCGTTTGAGTCAGTGAGGGTCAAAGGTCACTGAACAAACAAACAAACTGCTCTCCATTATGGACAAGCTTCACTCCCGCTCCACTCCACACTCTCCTTCTCCCACTGATGCCATAAAGAGCGCTTCAGGAAATCATTCCATTCTTTAAATATATCTGTATAATAATCCTTCACTCTGTGACCGGTGAACACACCTGTCAGGCACAAGATCCCAAACATATTTTCTATTATAGTTTCATCCAGCTGTTTTTCTTACATTTATAGTGCACATATCATTTATTAATGCAATTTGCACAGCTGTCTTACACAATCTCAAGGTTATTTTTACTGTTTTAACTAACTTTGATTTTACTTTCTTTGTTTTTCATCACTGTTGTAAATATAAATTCCTGCAGTCTCTCATAGTATAAGGCCCTTACTGGGGACCTGTGGCACTTTTATTTTCACTGTGTTGTTATTGTTGTGTATTGTAAACTGTACTATTTTTTCACCCATTACATTAAAACACATCCATGAATGAAATGGATTCTTCTTTTTGTTGCTTAGGGTGTAACCAGAAAAACATTTCACTGTACCCTGTTCTCTGGAACACTGACATTATTTTTTCATGACATGGTTCTACTTTGTTGTTATGCAGTTTACATTTTCCTTATGTATATAAGCTTTCACTTTCAATTTACAGTCATTACACAGTCCACTGATTTTTTCTGAAATGTTTTATATGCTGGGAAATACATTACTTATACATCCGGACCTTGCTCCCTCTCATTTGTACAAGAGTACGCAGTTCCTAGTTAGCCGGTGCAGCAGCAGTTTAAATTATTAGAAAGAAAAGCAAACAAATGGTGCTTAAAAAAGGAAGGAGAACAGAGAGCATGGAGAGTTTATCGCCTTTGGATTTAAGCGGTGGTGTCACTGACTTGTGAGCCCCGAAATATGAAAGTTGTTTGTGTTTCTCTAAAAGAATGAAATGTTGTTGTTAGCACTCATATCTTGAAAATATGCTGTTATACTGTAATAAACGGATGTGATGTATAAGGTGGTTGGCTGGAAATGAGTGATGAACGAGGAATTGTGTAACTGTAACTGTGCTTGTTACTTCCTGCTTGTGACTCATCCAGTGAGCTTTTGAGGACCTGCAGTTAATGGGCTTCTCTCATTTGTTCCATGCTGACAAACATCGCAGTGTCCTTATGTTACTTTAGAAAGGCTGAAATGGTTTGGGCTTGTGGTGGCACGGTTAAAGAAGACTGTAAGTTTAGCATAAACTTTGATAAAGGTGTCCGAGAGAGAATCGGAGATGCTGTGTTTGCTCCGATGCAACATGACAAAATAAATAAATAAATAAATAAATAAATAAATAAATAAATAAATAAATAAATGGGCTTGTGAAACCACTACACTGAAATAATCTGTAAAAGTCGTGAAACAGACTGAGCTATTTTAATGAGTACTCGTGTCCATTTGCTTTCATTAGAGGTCTTCTGTTTCCAAAGGCATTTGAATGTATCTTTTTTTTTCTCTTGACTATAGTTTCGAATTGCTCAGAAAGGAATTACGTAGTTAACTTCTCTGGCAACACACCAGGAAGCAACAGCGGTTACAATCAGAGGCTCAGTCTTGGATCTCGGTGAAGAATGGCCAAAACTATTAAATCCGCTTTGGCAGACACTCTGGAGAACCTATCAAAGGGGGATTTTGAGAGGTTCTGCCACCAGCTTCTGGACCGCAGAGAAGAGCCGCGGGTAAAACGCAACAGGGTGGAGGGCAAAAGCCGTCTGCAGATCACAGACGTGCTGGTGTCTACTTTTACCGAGGAGCGGGCTCTGACGGTGGTTCTCGAGATCCTGAAAGCGATCGGCTGCAATCAGCTGGCGAAAGAACTCGGTAAGATTAACGACTGTGATTCTGCATCGATAAAGTAAAGCCCGCACAGACGGAGGTCGGAGTTTAATGAGGACTGAGTGTTGGGCTACTGCATGCTACAGAGCAAAAACTTAACGACCGATTGACTAATAACGAGTAACTGGGCTGATGGCAGATTCGCACATTTATACAATAAATTAAATTAACTCCAGTCCCACAATACAATCTGGACTTAGACTTGTTTTAGTAATAATAATCTTATAAAATGTCCTGATCGCTCTGATGGAGCTGCTGGCTGCTTCATTCCTCTGTATAAATGTGCAACTGAAGCCATAATACGTGATGGCTGTGTGGGTCAGGTACTTTAATGAATGTAATATTACACCCATGTGTGATGTTTTAATATTACTGTTCTTCTCTGTGTGATCGACTGAAACACCATCACAGGGATCGGACTCTAACACTGTGTCTTCATTTTTGCAGAGGATGCTACAGGTGGAAACTTCTCAAAACCTGATCCCGGTGACAGTGAGTTTCTGCGCTCTTTTACCTTTCCGGCTATGAGACGTGGCTGATTTACTGTTTTCCTTTACTCTTTACCAATATTTCACAGTATAGACAAGCGCTACTTTTGTACTTTTGACAACAACATTTGAGTTAGTTTTAATCTAAAGTCTAAATTCTTTTAGCTTTAGTCTGTGAACGCGTTTTCATGGGAGCGCGGAAGCTTTCTCTGCCCCTCACACCCTGCAAGGACACAAATCAGTGTTGTGTTCCTGTGACATTGAGTCACAGGCCCACAATGAGCTTATTCACTGTTACAGAGTGAGACGTTACATGCTGGCCATGTTTATAGTCTTATTTCCCAAAGGCCCAGGTCACCAAGGTGCCGGGAAAGGACACCAGCTACTCCAGGAAGAGGTACAAGCAGGTGATGAGGAGAAGCGAGTGAGCAGGGCCGTAGGACTCAGGCAGCAAGGAGCATGGACAAGGTGGGAGAGTACCTTGCAGCGCCAAGTCATCATGCAGGAACCCAACTTCCACCAAGTCCGATTCCTCGTGCAGGAAGTATACAGCACCCTACCAAGCCCAGTTAACCTCCATGTGGGGGGGAAGAGTGAGACATCAGACTGTCTGCTGTGCTCTAGAAGAGGCAACCTAGAACACCTCCTCAGGAGCTGCCGAAAGGCCCTGGCTGATGGTCGGTATCGTTGGCGTCACAACCAGGTGCTTAGAGTAGTACCTGAGCAAGCACCATCACGCTCCAGAGAAGGCAATTTCTTTCATTAAGGCTGGAGAGAAACCCAGGTGTGTCCACAGTTAACAGCTGGCCTCCTCAGCACAGTCTCAGATTGGCAGCAACAGGCTGACCGGGGTAAACAGCTAAAATTCCCCCAGCACATCTTAAAAACTTCCCTCTAGCCACACATGATCATCACTTCTGAGGCCTCAAAACAACTGATTATGCTGGAACTTACAGTGCCCTGGGAAGAGCGGATCAAGGAGGCCAACGAGAGGAAATGCGCTGAGGACCAGGAACTAGTGCAGGGAAAGGGGTTGGGAGACATTCTATGAGTCCATAGAAGTGGGATGAAGGGACTTTGCAGGTCAATCACTCTGCAAAGTCCTCGGCCGGCTAGGTGTGGGTGGGCCAGCCAAGAAGAGGGCCATCCAGGCTATGAGTGAAACTGCAGAGAGAGCCACAAAGGTGGCTGTGGATAAAGAGAGCGGATCTGTGGATAGCTATTGGTACGCAAGTTGTGGCCTGATTACCCCTGACTTGGTCGCCAGGGTGAGGATGTATGATTTTGCGAGTCCCGAAACACCTGATTACTCCAGGATACATCGCCGAAGATGCATACCAGTGCATCCAGGAGATGTTTCTTGCATAGTTAATGTTAAAAATATTAAAAAGTACATATGAAGTTTTTCTAAAGTTTGGGTCACTGAGGGCACTTTTGTGCAGCCTCTTAGCATTATATGAGGATCTGAGAGTCAGAGACAGATGTTACTTTGCTGCATGAAGCAGTGCAGAAGCCGGATCAACAACTGGCAATTATTTTAGAGAACTACACACAAAGTACAGGATGCACTTCCATATACCAGAACATGCACGCATGAAATTGTACATGTTGGTAACACCATCGAATGATTGTGATCATTACAGGGGCCCGGCATCCACAGCAGCAGTTCAGCATGGATATTGAGGTATATGTGTGTGTATATGTGTGTCTGTAAATGTGTGTATATGTGTGTATATGTGTATATGTGTGTCTGTAAATGTGTGTTTCTGAGCAGTTAATGTTGCAGTTTGTCAGTTTGCTGACCGCTGTGTTTTATTCCCACAGAGGACCCATGAGCCACTGCCCACTCCTCCTCCTAATGAGGTAATTCATTCACAGGTTCTCATGCTTTCATTCATTCTTTTGTCACATCAGTGACATTTATCATCAGTCTGTTTTCTGTGTTTGTGTCCTGTAGTCAGACTACTACACTCTGACTCATAACCCACGTGGTTGGTGCGTGGTCTTCAACAATGAGATCTTCACAGGAGGTCTGAATAATCGAAAAGGAACTCAGGAGGATGCAGGTACAGTTCTTGCCTTTAAACAATGACCTGATTTATCTATGACTGTTTTATCTGGAAGCTCCTGAGCCCTGTAACAATTAATGCATATATACGTATGCCATGACCATGTAATGTACTTATAATCCTTCTTTTGCTTCTTTTCTGTCTGATACAGATACTCTGAAAGAAGTGTTCACTCGCTTAGGTTTTCAAGTGAAGATACACAACAACTGTACTGCAGAGCAGATGGAGAAGAAAATAAATGATCTTGGCAAGAATAATTTCAAAAGTGATGATGGCTTGGTGCGTAGTCACACATCTTCAGAGTTGTAGTACTTCATACACATGCACTTATTTTGAAATTATTTTGAAAAAAGAGTTATCTGAGAAGATAATACAAGCAGCGAGCTCTGAGGCTCTTACCATAAACATAACCTACAGACACTTTACCATAAAACCATAACTTCTCAGTATTACATTTACATTTTTTCAGCTATTGTTTATCATTTACTGTGCAGATATGCGGTATCAGGCTTCTCAAAAAGGTCTTAGATCAGCACATTTCTAAAAAATGTCACCATGTAGTGCATGTCTCTGTGACTGTAACAGCAGCAACATGTCAGCAGTAGTGTTAGTATAAATAATAAAACATAGGTCTACCTCTGATTTAAGGTGGTGTTCGTGCTTTCACATGGAGAAAAGGGGTGTGTCTTTGGCACTGATGGGGAAAAGGTGCTCCTGAAAGAGCTGACGGACCCCTTTACAAGTGGAAGAGCTCCAACCTTGACAGGGAAGCCCAAACTCTTCTTCATTCAAGCCTGTCAAGGTGATGAGGACGAGAACCGAAAAAAAGAAGCATGGCAAGCTGACGCTTCAATCCCTGATGAGACAGTGCCTGAGCTAGCAGACTTTCTGATCGGCATGTCCACAGTAGAGGAGTGCAAGTCCTTTCGAAACAAACGCACAGGATCTATCTACATCCAGGAACTGTGCAAACAGCTGAAAATAGCAGCAGAAAGGTGAGTTAAAATGATTAGTTTCTTTATAACAGACCACACCACTGTCATATGGGAAGGTTGTAGTGCAGTAGTTTCCTACAGAGTAGATTTTTTAAAATGTCACATACAGTTAGGTCCATAGAATTTTGGACAAAAACAAAAATGTAGTCGTTTTTCCTTTTTAGAATACCTCAATAAATTTTCACACAATCATGATGTGACTCAAGTGAAGACTTTGAGCTTTGAGTTTTACAAAACAGTTTAACAGTTCCAAAATTACTCATCTTTACACAAACTCCACCATTTTCTGAGACTCAAAAGTAATGAGGGAAGGCAAATCAAATGCATCAAATCGCTGTACATTTCTGTCTGCCTGCTTTTGGTGCTTTCAGACATGGTGTTGGCATGAGTTGGGTGTTTTGTTAAAATTTTGAAACTATCCAAAATGTGTCCTTTTTTATTCTCATGTTGTCCTTGCAGCCAGGTGATGGACGATATCCTCACTGTCCTGACACGTGTGAACAGGGAGATCAGCAAAGGAGAGTTTTTATCCTACAAACAAATGCCGGAGCCCAAATACACTCTCACCAAGAAGCTTGTCCTCAAATATATATGACCTGACTGTGACCAAATACAACACTGCAAGTCTGCACAATTCCTGCATAGAAAAATGTTTTTCACCTCAGAATCATACATTCTTTCTTGGGCCTATATGCTATTTACCTAAATTAAATTTTTAATAGGAAAGACATGTTTGTTTGGTTTTTTGTCATGAAATAAAAAAAACATTAAAGTGGTTTGTATTATTTAGTGTTCACAGAGAATGATTGACTCTTACACCACATCTTACCTTTGAGTAGCTGCCAAAAAGAAACATTACAGGTAAAGGAGGTGCAGAGGTGCTCTGCCATGTCCACACTAATTCATTTTCGTTTGAAAACACATCTTTTTCTCTCTGTTTTGGCTTTCCGTCCACACTCAGATAACGTTTTTGGTGAAGGGAAACAGAGCTTTTTGAAAACGCTCTCCAAAGCAGATACATTTGAAAACGTTTTTGCGTCGCAGTGTGGACAGCAAACCCGGAGCCTTTACGAAAACAATGACACATTTTAGTCACATGATGCAGTCATTAAACTAAGATAGCGGAGGGCATTATACAGCAGTTGTTTAGTTTGCTCTCAGTTTTGACAGCCCTAATAAAGTTTAATATCAGTCTGTACATGTTCCAGATAGCTTTTCTTCAAATTCTTTCATTCTCACTCGCTTTTGCAACTTTGTACTTCTGTGTTAATCGCAGCAACAACGCCACATCATTGTCAGTCCATTAAAAAAAAAACTGTGTTTTTCCTCAACATTTTGCCGTGACGTTTCAAAGAGCCTAAACAGCAGACCGATATGATGCAGGTCGAATCGTCTTATGTTTCACAGATGTGTAAGCGGTTTTAGTCGTTTCAGCGTGGATGAACAACTGTTCGGAAACGATTGAAAATGATAGTGTGGACACTGAGCGTTTTTAGACGAAAACGGATTAGTGTAAGCGTAGTATAAATTTCAGCTTCAAACCATGACAGAGATACGCCATATAGACACTGTTGTACTTCCCTCTCGACCTCTGTACACAGTGACAACCACAGGTGAATGAGACAGGTTGTATAAAGCACTTTTGAGTACTCGGAAAAGAAAAAAGCGTCATATATAAATCACTCATCATTTGAACCAAAAAATTAGAATTTGGATCCGTCGCTGCATAAGACATGGACTGATTTCATTGCAGTTCTTGTGTAATCTTGCATGCCTCAACCCATTCTTCTCATCTGGGTGGACAGTCACCCTTCCACTAAGACTTTTTCTGATGATGCTTCAGTGAACAGAAGCTGGATAAACTGAAGGGCCAGATCTCTCGGGTCCTTTGTCGGGTCTTTGCTAGATTTTCTTCATATTTATTAGGGACATGACTTTCATATACTGTTGTAAATAGTTTTTAAAGGTCTGCTACATCCTCTTCTGTCCTTTTCATAAGGACACACAGTACACAATGCATCCAATAAATTTGAAGAGACGTGCTTTTGGAACAGGCTGCTAACAATAAATTGTCTAAAAATACTAACGGAAAAACATTCCTCAGGTCAGATACAAGGATTGGATTGAAAATGAGTGAAAAAGCAGCCAATGTCCACAAAAAACCCTTTGAATGACTTTCAGAAAGCCTATAGGATTAATGTTCAAGATCATTTTGAAAAATAACAAAGTTTGGCTACTTGGAAGCAAAACATAAAGAAATTAACGACTTGCACAGTACTCTATAATATATCTCACTTAAATCTTCCTTATGTTAAATCATGAATGAGCTGATCTGCAGAGGGCACATATAAAAGATGTTTTCAGGTTACCTCTGACGCATGTAAATATCAGCTTCATCATAACGCTGGCCTTCATTAGCCTGAGAGAAATTCAGCATATTTGATGAGCTTGTTTACATCACTTTGTAAAACTTCAGAATCCAAATAATAACAGCTCATATTATATCAGGTGAAAGGAGTCAAAACTCAGTCAAAACTCTGCAAAGTGTGGAAGACTTGTGCGCCAGCAGCAGAGAGCACTTTAGGAGAGCGCGTGGATTCAGTAATGTGACACGCGAATGATGAAAATGAGTCTGCGCCTTTCAGGCCTCGCTGTGTGGGTGTGCCTTCAGAGAGACTCTTCCAGAGCCCAAATGGGTTAAAGATTGTGTTGAATCCCTGACCCGGAGTGGGCACTCCTCCCTTTTCCGGCTGCGGACCATGGCCTCAGATTTGGAGGTGCTGATTCTCATTCCCATCGCTTCACACTCGGCGGCGAACCGTTCCAAGGCAAGCTGGACGCCATCAACTGACGAAGCCAACAGGACCACATCATCTGCGAAAAGCAGAGATGAGATCCTGAGACCACCAAAGAGAAAGCCTTCTGCCACTTGGCTACGCCTAGAAATTCTGTCCATTCTAATGGACCGATTCTGTTCATCATAAAAATTAAGAACAGAATCGTTGACAAAGTGCAGACCTGGCGGAGCCAAACACACACCAGGAACAAGTCCGACTTATTGCCGGCTATGCAGACCAAGCTCTTGCAACAATCGTATAAGGACTGAATGGCCCATAGCAATGGGCCAGACACCCCACACTCCCGGAGCACCCCCCACAGGACCCCCCGAGGGACATGGTCAAATGCCTTCTCCAAGTCCACAAAACACATGTAGACTGGTTGGGCAAATTCCCATGCGCCATCGAGTATCCTCGAGAGGGTAAGGAGCTGGTCCAGTGTTCCACGGCCAGGACGAAAACCGCATTGTTCCTCCTGTATCCGAGGTTCGACTAACAGACGAACTGTCCTCTCCAGCACCCTGGCATAGACTTTCCCAGGGAGGCTGAGGAGTGTGATCCCCCTGTAGTTGGAACACACCCTCCGGTCCCCCTTCTTAAAGATGGGGACCGCCACCCCGGTCTGTCAGTCCAGGGGTACTGCCCCTGATCCTCACGCAACATTGCAGAGCGGTGTCAACCAAGACAGCCCTACAACATCCAGACTGCTTCATCTAACTGTCCATAGAATTCTATTCTATTCTATTCTATTCCATAAGAATAAACATGTTTACAGCTTATAAGCAACTATAAAGAAGAACAACAGCAGTCATTCCTTTAAAGAAAAATATATTTTTTTTATAATTGTCTATAATTATATTTCTTTTTGTTTTGAGCCATTAAGTATAGAAGTTCATTTGTTGTGTATCATACACAGGACCTAACAAAATATCACGTTTCTACAAATAAAGAGTTAAAAACGATACATATGACAGTGAAACTTTCCTTTTTATTTATTTATTGAACTCATGTCCCAAAAGAAAGTCATTTGTTTATAATAATTGTCACCATATTTCTACTACTCTTATGTAATTTCTTTTGAAATTGTACTTAACATATATCTGTAATTAGTCATAACAAGTTATGGGTTGGATGCTTGAAAGTCTGAAACCAGAACATATAGAAGGTGAAGAAGTCTGAAAAGTTATTGCTGATTTTATTAGACCAGCAGCACCAAAAATATGATCTCTCGCCAACTTTACATATAGGACACAGGCACTTCTGCCTATATGTAAACACCAATAAAAACACAATAATATACATTTTATTAATCACTTCAGTGCCCAATTCAATGACATGTACACATTAAATGGCATTATTAATCAGTTTTTAAATGTGGAAGAACGATTTGTAAAACAAATGACCACCACTTAATCACAATTCAGCAGCGTATAATTATGTGGCAGAAGAAAAGAGAAATGGCATGTTAACAATTTCAGAAGCTAAATTTCATAACCACATTTTATATATTATGATATTTTCTTTGATTTTTGAGATGAGATTAAAATAGAAATTCATTCATACATACACGCTGTAAATCAGGCTCATCAAGTCTATGTGAATCTGGGAATTATTTTTGGTCACAGGCGGGTGACAGGTTTGAGGACGAGCTTCTTGGTGAGAGTGTATCTGGGCTCTGGCATTTGTTTGTTGTTTGAACACTCTCTTTTGCTGACCTCCCTGTTAACACGTGTCAGGACAGTGAGGATATCATCCATCTCCTGACTGCAAGGAAAACATCAGAAACACACTAAAAATAACAACTTGAATTTTTGGAATACTTGAAACATTGAGCTTTCTGATGTTTTACATAAGCACATCTTACATCACCAAAAGCAGACCTACAGATATGCACATAAGTATAGCTTTCTAAATATCTTTTATCATTGCAAAAACTATAAAAACAGTTTATAACAGTGTGCTATAAAGATGTCAGATTGTGTCACTTTACATGACAGTTGTGCCTAAGTAAAGTATAAATAAAATTAGGCTTACTTAAAATGTTTTCTGTATGTCAACAAATAAATTGTGAAATGTGTCATATATTACAGTTTTCTTCCAAAGTAGCATTTTATCCTATTAAACTATTTCTCTCACCTTTCTGCTGATCTTGTCAGCTGCTTGCACAGCTCCTGGGTGTAGATACATCCTGTGACTCTGCTTCGAAACGTCACGAAATCCTCCACGGTGGCCATGCCTATCAGAAAGTCTGCTTCTGAAGGCACTGTCTCAATCTGTCTCCCCGGGTCTGCATTTCCTTCCAAGAAGAATTGTGTCTCCCTCCCATCCTCTTGAGGCCCCAAGCTGCAGGGACGGTATCCTTTCTGTAATCCTTCACCCTGACTTGCTTCAATGAAGAAGAGTTTGGGCTTCCCTGACAAGGTTGGGACTCTTCCACTTGTAAAAGGGAGCATCAGATCTTTCAGGAACACCTTTTCCCCATCGGTGCCAAAGACACACCCCTTTGTTCCATGCGAAAGCACGCATACCACCTTAAATCAGAGGCATATTGGATAGATGTGGTGTTAAGAACAAAAAAATGCAAAAGGACACATGGTAGTGAATTTTGTGAAAAGGATAAAAATAGCTGTGGTGACCACATACTTTAAGAAGAAGGTAGAATATAAGGAGAATTATAAGAGTAGAGAAAGGTTCACAAAGGTAAACTACATCTTATGCAGAATCGTAAAGAGAGAGGATACTGCAAGGTGGTGTCAGGGGAGAATGTAGCTAAGTAGATTTAAATGGTACTCTGAAGGTTGACTTTGGAAATGAAGAAGGGGAAGTGAATGAAGCCAAAAGCAAGGATTAAGTGAAGAAGAAGGACATTGTGCAGTATATAGG